GAGGCCACTGGAGCCTGATTTGTGTGAGGAGTAGCTGAAATGGCAGCTGTGAGAGCCTGCCCAGGGAGCTCCCATCAGCTGCCTGCTGTCTGGTGTCTCTCCCTGGGCCAGGAGAAGGTGCCTGAGGAAGAGGGAGGTGGGAGGCTGGTCTGGGCTACCTAGAAACAAGTGCTGCCTCCCAGTCTGTCCCATGTGAGGCATTCCAATCATCTTAGAGTTCTCTTTTCCCCATAGGTACCCAAAACTCTCTGTGACAGGAGCTGGAGTCTCTCTGCAGGGTTCCGATGCAGGGTGCTCCCTCCCTCGCAGCTGCCCTTAGGTGTATTGCCCCAAACCAGTGAGGCTCTGGCTTGAGCCAAACCCCAAATCCTATAGCCCTTTGTGCTTGGTTGAGCTTGTGAGTACAGTTAGACATGAAGAATTTAATCTCATTAAGCAGAATTCCTCTGCTTAAGCTTTGTTGAGTGGCAAACAGCCATCAGGCCGCGCCCTGCCAATGCTGATGTTTTCTTCATACACATCAGCAGGTTTCGGAGTTAATGCACCAGAGCGAGCAGCTTCCTGGGAAACCAGGGAGCTGCTGCCCCGTGATTTCTATCTTCTTCACAGCTGGGGAGTAGACAGATCTCCTTCTGGAGTGGAATTAGGGGAAAGCCATTCTGGTCTTGAAACCCAGCTCGTGGAGCTTGTAATCCCCTTCTCTGGGCTCAGAGCCTGTTAGTGGCCACCCCAGAGAGACATGGAGCCCAGGCTGCTGCTAATTAATCTCTTCCTTCCTCTTGCCAGTGACCTGCTCTCCCCAGACTCCATCCTCAACTGCCTCTATCCTGGAGACCATGGGAGGAAAACACCCAACCCAGCCAACCAGTTCCAGTTCGATAAAGTGGGGTGAGTGGAGTGTGGCCCCACACAGCTGGGGCAGCTTTGCCCAAGCAGTTGGCGTGAGTGCCCCGCTCCAGGCATGGCACATCCCTTCCCTGGTTTGTCAGGGAGGGCTTGGTGGCTGGGAAGCCAGTGTCCTGCCAGTTGGCGTTGGGTGAGCTCACTGGGCGTGGCTGGGGGTGCAGGCAAAAGAAGTGCTGGCCCGCAGGCCAGGCAGGGGGGAATGCTCTGGGGTGGTGTAACCCTTCATCATTGTCCCCACAGCATCCTGACCTTGAGCGACTACGTGACAGAGCTGGGGCACCCCTACGTGTGGGTGCAGAAGCTGGGTGGCCTGCATTTCCCCAAGGATCAGCCTCAGGCATGTCACACCCCCTCCCCTCTCTCCCAAAATGTTTGGGGATAGTTGTTGTGTTCTGTCCTGTTCCCCGAGACCCCCAAGTTCCTGCTGGCACTGGCCACTCCCAAACCACGGAGCACCCTTGCCTGGGATGGGCTCAGCTGGGGTGAATCCATGCAGCAGGGCCATGCCAACATATTTTATCTCCCACCTGTGATAGTCTAAGCCCTGTTACAGGCACTGAGCAGTGACTCCAGCGTGTGCCTATCCCTGTGGCTGGGTGGTGTGGCTCCTGGAGCATGGGGGCCCCAGCGGGGGCCCCACAGGCTGGTGTGATGGTGACAGCCCCTCCTGCTCACAGCACACAGTCACTGCGGACAACTCGCTGAGTGCCAGCCACATGGAGCTTACTGTGAAGCTGCTGCGGACAAGGCTGCAGTCCCGCCTGGCTCTCCACAAGCAGTTTGCGTCGCTCGGTGAGTGCCTGGCTCCCCCGACTCTGCCTGAGGATAGGGGGGTGCAGCGGCAGGGACCTTTTGCAGAGGAGAGCTGACCAGTGTCACCTTTAATGGTGCTGCAGATCTGCAGTGCCACCCTCAGCGTTCCCAGTCATCCTCTCTGTCCTCGGTGGTAGCAGGGCTGCAAGGGCTGCCCTGGTTTGGGTGGGAGAGGAAGGCTGTGCCCCCTCTCGGTGCCCAGCACCCCTTTGGGACCGGCCATCCCTGCGCTGGGAATAGATGCAGGCTGCAGTGGGAGGTGAGCCATGCACCCACGCTTGTCATGCGCCTGTTGAGCCGGCCAGGCCTGTGCTGCCAAGGCTGCAAGCTCCAGTGGGATCACAGCCAAGGCCTCCACTGCTCCTCTTTGGGCACCTGATGAAGGTGTCAGAAGGGTAACAGTGTCCCCAGGTCTTGATTTTGGAGTGTCCCCACTCACAGGACGGTGACAGAGCTCTGTCCCCAGCCCTCCCCTGCTCAGGTGGCCTTGTCCTTTGTTTCAGAGCATGGCGTTGTGCCAGTCTCCAGCGAGTGCCAGCATCTCTTCCCTGCCAAGATTGTCTCACGCCTGGTGAAGTGGACTGCCATTCCTTATGAAGATTATGCGGTAGGTGCATAATCTTCAGAGCACAAGGCTGTACCTCTTCCAGCTCCCACATGGCGCCGGTGGCTGCTCACTCCTCCTCTTGTCCCTCCTCGCAGGAGCTGCCATACACTAAAGATGTGATAGAGGCCAGCTTGGCTGAAGACACTCACCTCTACTACATGGCCCTGATAGAAAGAGGAACAGGTAGGCGTGTTTCCTTCCCCTGGCCGTTACTAATTCCTACACTGGACACTCCCAGGGCAGCTTTTGGGGGTCTTCATGGGAAATCCCTCCAGTTGGAGGCCCCATGGGCTGCAGGTGACACTTCTTCCCTGCCCTGCTCAGCCAAGCTCCAGGCCGCCGTGGTCCTGAACCCTGGTTACTCCACGCTTCCACCTGTCTTCAGCCTGTGCCTCAACTGGAAAGGAGAGCGAACCAGCAGCAACGATGACAACATTCGGGTAACTCAGGGTGGTGGGAGAGGAGGCTGGAGAAGTGCTGGCATTTGGGGGGTATTCCCAGTGGTTCCGTGTCCATAGTAAGCAAACTTTTGGGGTGAGCTGGTGGCCAAGGCAGCTCAGGGCAGGCCTGTGAGACCTGCTGGGTCCAGCCGCGGGTCCTGGGACCCAAACCTGCGCCATACTGATCCTTCTGTCTCTGCCCAGGCCATGGAGAGTGAGGTCAATGTGAACTACAAGGAGCTGTGGGGGCCCAAACCGGGCTACCAGCTCCTCACCAACCAGCTGCAGCGCCTGTGCATGGTGCTGGACGTCTACCTGGAGACAGAGCCCCACGACCCGAGTGTGGAGGGGCCCAAGGAGTTTCCCCAGGAGAAGATGTGTCTGCGCCTCGTCAGGTGAGAGCCTGGTATTAGGGGGAGACCCTGGGGCCATGAGGGCTGGGTCGGGGGTGAGGGTGCTGACAGGGACCCTGGTGGCACTGCTGTCCCCTGAAGCAGGGCTTTGCCTGACCTGGGGCTGGTCTTGAAGCCTCTCCTTTAGCTGCCCATGGGGATCTGCCCCCCGTAACTGGGCAGTACACCCGGGACCAGGGCCTTTCTGCAGGTGCTGTGGGCTTCCTGACCCTCATGGGTCACCCTCTTCTCTTCCAGGGGGCCCATGCGCCTGAAACCCTTCAAGTTCAACTACCCTCAGGGGTTCTTCAGCCATCGTTGAGCACTCCTGGGGATGGGCCTTGTTCTGGCCACAGGCTGGAGTATCCCCACCCCACCATTTCAGTTTCTTTTTTGAGGTTTTAGGTTTTGTTCGAAGGTTTTGTAGCCAAAGGCATTAAAATGCTGAATTGAAGTCTGTGTCTGTGTGCATGCGCCCCATCTGTGCGGAGAGCTGGGATAGGGGGGACCCAGAGGACCTGCAGCAAGCCCTGTCCTCTGGCTCTGGCACGTGTCTTGCTGCTGGCACATCCCCTCCCTCCCCACCGCAGGGCCTCGGGACCGCGGAACAGAGCTGGATAGAAGCTGAAATGGCTAAAAATAGCTGCTTTCTGAAGCCTGCACTGCAGCCCCAGCCTGTCCTTGCCTGCACTGGCTGCCAGCCAGCTGACTCGGCACAAACCCCACAGTGAGGCAGAGGATGGGGAGGGGCTTCACCACTTCCCTGGGCTTGGTGGGGGAGCAGAGCAGTGTCCTGCGAGAGGCAGGACCTCACTGGACCGGGCGAGGGCTCAGGGGGAGAATCCCAGCACCTCAGCTTGCCAGCAGGGAAGTGGGGATGTGCAGCGCCTGGCAGCTCCCCGCTGCAGGTCCTGTCCTGCAGCCAGGGTGGCAGAGTTGGGCTCCATCCCCACTCCTGAGGTCATAATATCCCTCTTGGCTGCCAGCCTCTCCCCTCTGGGCGCTTTCTCCCTGGGAAGGTGACAGACCTGCTCTGTGCTCCCAGTGCAGTGCTGCAGCGCTCGGGTTAAACCAGGCCCTACCAGCCCCCTGCGAGCCACACTTCAAAAAGGGAAGGAAGACAAAACCTAAACCCCTCAAATCCTTTGCAGAGCAGGGAGGGGCTGGCCCTGGGAAGGCAGTCAGGGCCCAGGGAAGCCCCATGTCACCCCCCCAGCCTTGGGTGACAGATCCCAGCCCCCCAGGCCAGGCTTTCCCCTCCTTCCTTCCCCATCTCTCCCCAGATAGGAGGCCAGCAGAGCCAGGGCGTCTCTGTAAGCACTTTATTTGGTTATTGCACAGAAAGCAAATAACAGTGGGCTGAGGTTCCTAGTGCGCCATGTGTCTGTGAGCGTTCTTGCAGCGCCTGGCCTCTCCCAACCGAAGCTGGCCGCAGCCTGGGTCACCACTCGGAGGGACAGTCATCACCCCCCAGGCCAGGGAAGGACCCTGAACACCCCGCCAGCCCCTGTCCCAAGCAGCTAGAGCTCTGCGTTGCACTCGTCCATCAATTGCACATACATTAAATAAATGCACTTATTGGAGAAGGGCGGGCGGTTCCCCCAGCATCTCTTCTCCTTGGTTATAATTCAAGTGTTTACATGTGGCGCTCGGCGTATATCACATTCTGCTAGGGAAGCTGTCGGCCAAACCGCCGGGGCAGGGCAGCGAGGGGCTGCGTCTCTCACACGGACATATTGCTAAGGTAAAGCCCGGCCCGGCAGGGGGGGTCCCCACCCTGGGCCCGGCTGTCAGAGGGGAGCAGAGCAGCTTGGAGGTGCTCTTCAGCACCCAGGGCTCTGCTCACTTCTTCCCCACAGCGGGCGCTGGCTCTGGGGCTTTGCTCTCTTTGCTGGAGGGGGCCTCAGCCTTGGCAGGCTCTTTACTGGCTTGGGGTTCATCTTTGGGTTTCGCTTTAGCTTTGGGCTCCTCCACCTTCTCCTTCTTGGGCTCCTCCACCTTCTCCTTCTTGGGCTCCTCCACCTTCTCCTTGGCCTTTGGCTTCTCAGCCTCCTTCACAGCCACTTTGCCAACCTCCTGCTGAGGTTTTGGTGGAGCCTCCTTCTCAGCCTTTCCTTCTTCTGTGGGTTTGGGGCCTGGCTTGGTGGTCTCCTTCACCTGTGGGGCTGCAGGCTCCAGCCCAGCAGTCACCTTCTCTTTGGGCTTCTCCTCCATCTTGGCAGGGATGTCCTTCTTGGGAGCTTCCTCTTTCCTGCCCTCCTCAGCTCTGGGCTTGGAGGGAGCCTTCACCTCCTTGGGCTGCTCTTCCTTAACAGGACCTTTTGGCTCCTTCAGAGGGGAGGGGGTGGGCTCCTTGGCCGGGGCTGCTTCCTTCTGTGGAGACTTGGCCTCCTCCTTCATGGGAGATTTGACTTTCTCGGGGGACTTCACGGTCTTGGCCTCCTCCTTTGAGGGGGTAGGGGGCTTTTCTGGGGACTTCACAGCCGGGCTCTTGGCCTCCTCTTTTGAAGGGGTTGGGGGTTTTTCTGGGGATTTGACAGATGGTGTTTTGGCTTCCTCTTTTGAGGGAGCTGCAGGTTTCTCCGGGGACTTCACAGCCGGGGGCTTGACCTCTTCTTTAGAAGGGGTTGGGGGTTTCTCTGGGGACTTGACAGGCGGGCTCTTGGCCTCCTCTTTTGAGGGGGGTGCAGGTTTCTCTGGGGACTTCACTGCTGGGGGCTTGGTCTCCTCCTTTGAGGGGGTTGGGGGCTTTTCAGGGGATTTGACAGCTGGAGTCTTGGCCTCCTCCTTCGAGGGGGTTGGAGGTTTCTCTGGAGACTTCACAGCTGGGCTCTTGGCCTCCTCTTTAGCGGGGGTTGGGGGTTTTTCTGGGGATTTGACAGAGGGGGTTTTGGCTTCCTCTTTTGAGGGGGTTGCAGGTTTCTCCGGGGACTTCACCGCTGGGCTCTTGGCCTCCTCCTTCGAGGGGGTTGGAGGTTTCTCTGGAGACTTCACAGCTGAGCTCTTGGCCTCCTCTTTTGAGGGGGTTGCAGGTTTTTCTGGAGACTTCACAGCTGAGCTCTTGGCCTCCTCTTTTGAGGGGGTTGCAGGTTTTTCTGGAGACTTCACAGCTGGGCTCTTGGCCTCCTCTTTTGAAGGGGGTGTAGGTTTCTCTGGGGACTTCACTGCTGGGCTCTTGGCCTCCTCTTTTGAGGGGGTTGGTGGCTTTTCAGGGGACTTGACAGGAGGGCTCTTGGCCTCCTCCTTTGAGGGAGACTTGGGTTTCTCTGGGGACTTGGCCTCCTCTTTTGCAGGAGACTTGGCCTCCTCTTCACCCTCTGCTTCATCTTTCTCCTCTTCTTTCTTCTCCTCCTCTTCAACCTCTTTCTCAGCCTCTTCCTCCTCTGTGACCTCCTCAGTCACCTGGATTTCCTCTGTCTGCTCCTCCACAATCACAGTCTCCTTCTCAGATTTTTCCACCACCTTGATCTTCTCCTCACTCTTCACCTTGATGTCGGTGGTGATGCTGGGAGCCTTGGGGACCACCTCGGGGAAGGAGACCATCCCAAAGCCAGACTCAATCCGATATTCCTCCCCTTCCAAGAGCTTCCTAGAAGGAAGAGACCAGAGCAGGGCAGTCAGTGATTGCTTCTCACCTCCTCCCATGACCAGGAGCTGCCAGCCATACCCCGCAGCTCCATCTCCCTCCTTGCCCTGCTTTCCAGATGCTGGCTGACCCTCCTTCTCCTACGCCCTGGGCTGTGCAGGTTTCCTCACCCTTCCCTCCGCAAGCCATGTGCAGGGCTGGGTTCACCCAGTTGGGTGTTGCCCACCATGGTCTCAGAGGAGGGAATGGTCTCTCTCTTACCAAGAAGGGCCCAGATATTGCAAGGACCCTCAAGGAAGGTCCCCAGAGACACCGGCACTAGGGCCTGGCTGAGACCCTCCCCTCACCCACCCCATACCTATAGGCAGCAATTTCGATGTCCAGGGCCATTTTGACGTTGAGCAGATCCTGGTACTCCCGGAGCTGAGCCGCCATCTCCCACTTGGTGTTCCTCAGCTCGCTATCAAGCTGCTGGATGGTTTCCTACAGGCAGACAGAGCAACTGGTGACATGGGGGGGGCAGTCCTCAGGAGCAGGGGGACACAGAGCACCCCTGAACAGTCCCCTGGTCTACAGAGGAAGGACTGCTCACCCAGCACCAGGGTGCCCTCAGGGAGGGGTCTGCAGCCACCTCCCCCTGCAGATGCAGAGGGAAAGGGATGCAGCCAGGGGCTCTTTCAGTGTGTTCGGTTTCCAGGGCGGCGGGACCCCTGCATCACCCCAGCCCCCTCCCAGAGATCCCTTCAGCAGGGATGAGCCATGGGAACATTTTGAGGACTTGGGCAAGTCTGGTGGCCACCAAACTCCAGCCTGAGGCTGATGGGGATGGGGCATCACCCTGGGAACAGAGTTTCAGTCCACGGCCACCACCTGATGCCACCCTCTGTGCTGCATTTCCCAGCTCTGGGACACAAGACATCGCCTGAACCCTGGGCATGGTTCAGTGGTGTTGGTGACCAATGTTGTGGGCAGCTCAAAGCCAGGCAGAGATGTGGAACAGCTCCATCGTGGGTGAGGGACACAGTGGTCCGGATGCAACCTCAGGCTCTGGGTACCTGATCACCAGGTGCTGGGAAAGGCCAGCTCTAGACACAACCCCGAGCATTTGGCACTGGTCATCACCACCTCTGAAGCCAAAGCACCAGCACTGATCCTCCCCAGCAGCTGGATAGTCCCTCCCCACCAAATGACAGGTCTGGGATGCTGCCCAATGCACCACATTACCTGGTAGGACAGGACATCTGCATGATGGCGCTCCTCCGAGTCCTGTCTCTGCCTCTCCAGTGACTCCTGGGTCCCTTTGAGGGCTTCGAGCTCGGTGGTCTTGGACTGGAGCTGGCGGCGGTACTCGCAGATCTCCTCCTGGGCCAAGCGGATGGCGTCCGTGTTCACCTTGGCAACCTCCGAGAGCTTGTCCAGCCTCGCTGCAATAGGGGAACAGAGAA